CATTAAAAGTTAATCTTCTGCTTTCTTTTCTTCTCAAAGGTCATATGTTACCACTCTTTGTATTAACTCTCAAATCTTATCTCCTTAGAGACAAGTCAATTTAAGTCAAAGGGATGTTTGTACGATTGGAGGGAAAATCTGTGACACTGTGGCGAGATGAAGCAGCTGATACCTCTATACAAATCCTTCCTTGAAAGCTTTTCACTGTGACACACCTAGAATAACATTCCAGTTTCCCGGGGCTGAGCTGAATCTAGTGAGGTGCTTTCCTTGGGGATTCACAGTCTTTCATACCCCCAGCATCTGTGAAAGCAGAGAGCATACATCATCATATCATGGGATTACATCCATTCCATGTATTTAAAACTAATTACGTATTACGTTAGGAGTTGATCCTTCCAAATGTGCATCCTACTTTTGTCTTCAGTGACCCTTTCTACAAATGTGAACATGCTGTTCAAGACAGTATACAGAAATTAAACAAATGGCTGACTGGGAGTCAAAAATAACAAGCTGACATTTGTGCCCTCACAAGATATTACCTTTTCACCTACCACAAAACTTCAGTAAATTTCAGCCAATAATTTTCTGGCTGAGCTCAGTAACGTACTGTCCTTTGAGTAATTTAGACTTGTAGAAAGGCTATAAAGGCTCCTCTTCTTATTTCTGTTCATCTCTGACTCTGTGCTTAAGACCCTAGCCCCTCATTTGTTGTGCACTTAGTGAAGTTAGATCACTTCTACTGTTGTGTTTGTGTATGTACTGTTTAGCAAATAACACTCTTGTCCGACTTCTAGCAAAGATGTTACAGAAGTTTGTTCACATTTGCCTATGGGCTTTATTTGCAAATCTTATCTTTAATGTTCCTTTTTGTTATATAGAAATATTCCAAATTAAAAAAAAAAAGGTGAGGGAACCTTTTTCTTTGAATTTTCCCCTCTAAAAATAATGAACTCTTTTGTTTGATTGTTTTCTAAAAATAGTGGTAATCACATAGTTACATCTCTCTAGCATTTGTGATTCATATAAACTCTAGTTGTATCGTGTAAGAGTGGGTGATGGTACCAATTGTTTGCTACTATGTTACTGAGGTAAGGTTAGATAGACCTGGTCAGAGCTAGCTAATGAAATAAAATTTCACCAGCACACGTCGATTTAGTGAGGCCAAAATGATTCTATCAAAGTATCTGTGTTGGAAGAACAATTGCTAAATCCTTGATTCCTGGTGAATGGCCCCTCTCCTGAGGACTTGGTGCTTCTAGGGGCTATTGAAACAGCAGGTCTTTGCTGCCTCCAAGTACTTGGACTCAAATGGGTCAAGAAGTGCAGCACCAGGAGCTTCACCACCAGGGTAGAAACTGTTGGGCAGTAGCCCTTTTCTCCACACACCTAGGTCTGGAAAACAACAGCTCTGCTCATTTTAACATAAAGGCCTAAAGGTGCTGCAATCTTGGGTACATGGCGAGAAGGTACCACATATGAATATGAAACATGAGTTCTTGTTCTTCTTCCTTTCTTTACCATCTCCTTTTTTTCTCCTTACTTGTCTGAGCCAGTCTGTCTTCATAAATTGTCATTTTCATTTGTCTATCGTAAAAGTTTTTTCCTCTTTCCTTTTGTTTTCATTTTCTTTTTTGGATACCAATAAAGTGAAGGCCTGATGTTGGGGATAAAAAATAAAGTACAGGTATATGTTTCTCACGGGGAAATATGTTGCCAAGATGTTTAGAGTATTTTGTCACAGTCTGGGTAGAATTCTATGGACAAATATTATTGAAACCTTGATTTTTATTCCCAGCATGTACTGTTTAGCAAATAACACTCTTGTCCGACTTCTAGCAAAGATGTTACAGCTGCATTTTTCTCTACTGCCTTTTTTTATCTTTGTGAAAATAAATCATCACTACTCTATAGCAGTAAAAGAGAGAGGTAACCGTTCACATCTTTGGGGTTTCTTTTCATTGTCAAAATTAAATACATCTGTGCAACTTAAATAAATGTGCAATGATGCCTTCCCTTTTTGGGATCAGCAAATACTGACAGCAGCAAGCTGTCATCTGAAAATAAAACAAACCAACAGGGTGAAATTTATGCTAAAAATTCTGTATCACTCAAGCAAAGTTCCCATCTCTGAAAATTCAGTATGCACCTTTACAAAGGAACGATTTGAGATTATGATTAAAGTGATGGCGACATTCATGTTACTGAGTTGCTGAGATAGATAGTACCCAATAGTATCTTAGCTCCCTAAAGGAGCTGAATGCAGAAGGAAAGCAAAATAATCTGATAGTTGCCAGTGGAGGGTCCTTGGTTGAAAGCATATTAGAAGAATTGTTAGGGGTACTCAGATGGATTCAAGAGCCTATTGGTCTGCACAAAAATCACAGAAAGACTCCCCTGGCATCCAAATATACTGAGAGAGAGAACACCTCGATGAGGGAAATTGGGCTCCACTAAAAGGGCTTCAGGACACAGACAAATCGAAGCATGTTGGAGGCTTATGACTTAACAGTGAGGACCACAAAGATGTTTTAAATAGATCACTGGGGATAAACAAAAGTAGTAAGACCTCAGTAACGCAGAAAATAAGGTTTCACACTGGTCTGCTTACATCATCCATGATACCCTGGTGCTGAAAGTTGCTTCATACTCAGATTTTTAAATCGTTACAACAAATAGGGTTCTGCCGGATTTGTGAAGAGCTGTTTAAATTAACAGAGTTCTCCATTACAAGCGCCTCTAGAAAAGGTTTGTCTCACTCACATAGTGCCAGCCACAAAAGCTCCTTAGTCCTTTTTTGTGTCTCTGAGCACTACTCTGGGAGGTCTATTCCCAAATAATTGATACATGTTTATTGATTTCTTCTGTTCACTAAGATAAATGAAGCTCCATCATGCATGCACTCAGTTAAAGAAAACCTGGAATAATATCTTGAGCTCTTCCACGTTTATACACATCAAAGAAAAGCCTCAAGAATACCATTCAGGCTCTGCTAGTTGTTTAAATGACTGGCAGAGAAACAGTACTGGCTGATCTGATAGGCAAGCATCTCACGGCCATAGATGGACCAAAACAGAGCTCCTTCACTGAAATATCTTGGTATCTAATGTTGTCAAGAACTGGCTGCCTATGCAACCACAGCTGTGGCAGGAACAGGCTGTCTATCAGCTGGGCTTTCTTCTTCCTTTCACAGCGGTGTGGCAGGCAGCTGTTTCCCACCCCAGAGCTGCCCCGAGTGCCTGCTGCAGTTAACGGCAGCCCGCTGGTAATTTCTCTCTTACCACTGTTACTAGACTTTGTAACTTATCAGACTGCAAGGCCGGAAACGTGCCAGCCAGGCACGACTGTTTCTTGCTTATCCATTGCAAATTGTGGGATCTTTGGGGGAGAAATGAGTTATGAGTCTCAAAGCATAGCTGGTGAAAACTGCACCAAGCTACAGTAAGCAGGGACTGACTGAGGATTTGGGAGCATCACTGCTTTTCCTTTGGTTAGCAGCAGCTTTCCCCAGTTAAGAATTTGGAGTTCGATACCCCACAGACTTTCTCTCATCAACCTTTAGTCCAGCTTGAAGAAAGAGAAAGCAAAGGCTTCTCCAGCCCGGGTGGAGGCCTTGGAAAACTACTTTAAAGTTGGAAAAGAGACCCAGTTTGCTGTCTGCACCCAAAAGAACAAAGGCAGTGATAATTACCACCCGTACTTTAACTATGCTGCTGATAAACCTTAGAATGAGATTTGTGGGTTTTGCAATAGCGACACATAACTAACATGCATCCGACTTATGGATTTATAATCCCTCAGGCCTTTTGCCGTCTAGGGAAGCATCTCTTGACACGGCAGCTTTGGCGTTTATTTCTCATTTTGTTGGCTAAGATAGGAAAACCAAGACCTTTAAAGGAGCAGAAGGGCACACTTCCTGGCAGTCAGCCTCCAGCGGCGGCCTCGCTCGACTCGCCCGGTCGCACTTCCGTTGAGCGCGGTTCCTGCTCCGCCTAGCGGGTGCAGCGGGGCTGTCCGCCCCGCTCCGCGCCCCGCTCCGCGCCCAGCGCCGCCCAGCGCGCCGCCG